CAAATCAAGTCTTTGTGTTTCTGTCATAACATTTACCGATTAATTGCTTGATTTGATTGCCGTTTCGTCTCTTCATATCGTTTTGCATCTGTTTTTTAGCCCAAAATTAGTCTATATTTTGATTTTCTTTTTATTTGATTTAATTTAAATGACAAACAATTTTTTCAATGATTTTTAAATCAACTTAAAGTCTATTTGTTTTGCTGTAATTTAAACTTATATTTAACGCATTGAATGAATGAAATTGAAAATATTATTATTAATATAACATTAATTTAAATACAATCAACTTTTTTTGACAAACATTTCTTTCCTTTTGAGTGTATTTATGATTTTCTTTACAATTATTTCGTTTTTTATATGAGTTTTGAATGAAATTTAATTAATAAATAAATTACTCAATAAATTGTGTCAATAATTTACATGATTTAATCATTACTTTCATTTGTATAGTACACTGTATTTAATGTACTATTTCTAAGACATTATCAAACAGTTTAACTAAATTTATAAATTATTTATAAAGTATTGACTGAAAGTTTTGCCCATAATTTAAGAAATGATTAAATTGTTTACTAATAGAAATTTTTGTACTTTTAATATAGTTTTAAGTGCATTAACACTAAACTAATAGTATATTGTGTTAAATGATAATAATATAATTAATTAATATATTTATCAATTTGTATTAAAATAAAGTAATCAATTTACTTTAAAAGTAAACAATAATTTCATTTATTATTAAATCATTACCAAAATAGAGATAATTATTAATACAACAAATTATCAATACATGAGTGAATTTAAGCTTAAAATTTCAATTTAATTACACGAATGGCATTGAAAATTGAAATAATTGCCAAAATCCTGTATATTTTGTGCACATCTTTACAGGTAATCAAAATCTACACAATAAGTCGGAAGAGACACACAAATGGCTAATTTCAATGACAATTAAGATTTGCACAAAACTATAAATAAAATAATTGCCTTTAGTTTTGCCATTCATTTGCTGTAAACTTTCATTCATTCATTGAATTATACAAATAAATCACTATTTTATTCAAAGTGTGTCTCAAAATGAAGGCACAGTTAGTTTGGGTGATAATGATTGTCACTTTGATTGGCAACTCATACCAGGAGTGCTGGTGTAATGTCCGACTCCGGGGCGAGTATTGCGGATCCGAACTGAACCGGAGGAATGATAACCAAGACTGCGAGCGACATATCTATTATTGCGGCCGAAATAATATGAACAAAGTGGCCATTTTAGTGGCCCGATGTCCCGACGAGTCCCAGTGTGAGGACAATCAGACTCAACTGTCTTCCAGGACCAGACGGAGTGAGACTTTTAATTATTTATTATAATTATTTCTTTTAATTACTATACTTTACATTTAATATTTAAATTGATTATAAATGCTTTGAATGTCGTCTATATTTGCGTTTAGGAAACACATGTTTGCGAAAACTTCAGTGTCATTGTCGCGACGGTATGGATGACGACAACCTGTATTGTGGGAATCAATTGACTGGAAGTGATTGTCCGCCACACGTGCTGTTCAGGTGTCGGTTCAGTCGAAACGGTGTGTCCGCTCGCGACGCTTGTCTGGACGGCTGTCACGACGGAAAATGTCTCAACGGAGTCGACATTCCCGACAATTTCAGACGGGATTCAAGTAGTGATGGTTCGGATACAGAGATGCCTTAAGAAAAACGTTAATTTTTCATTCATTACTTATTCATATGAATTAAAATGTGATTTATTTTAAAAGTTATTACAACAATACAGTAGAATAAATATTCCTACGGATAATATTTACTTATAATATTTGAATAAATGTTATTCTCTATAATATTAATTGTGCACTCGTTTAGTGA